AAAGGTCCCCCCTCCACTCACCCATATTGCCTCTGATGAGGAAGGTGGGGACAACTTAGGCCAGTTTGCTAACCTGTGGTTCAGAGATAAGTGCAGCTATAAATGGAGGGGGCCTGTGTGGTGAGGGGATGAAATTTGAATTTTCAGTAGTTTTGCAAGAGAATCTGCTATCCAGGAGTTCTGGAAAATCTTTGACAATCCTCAAAGGGCAGTTGTATTACTATTATATTAGTGTTTCACTGCATCTTAGATGGCTGAATTAAATTTTTTTATGTTACTCCTATACATGTTGTCTTATTAATTATTGGAATCTACTGGTTAATTTTCAAATATTGGTGGCGAAACTAATCAAATATGTTTAACTTTACAGTTTAACTTTACAACTGTTTTTATGTAAATATTTGGTATGTGAGTTACACAATTCTAATAAAACCTAATGCTTTTTCATTACATCTAGTTTGAGCTCTCAACTTGTAGACTGCTTCCTTGAAAATGCTTTAATGAGAAATATTAAAAAATATATAGATTTGTATGTCAATTTATACTTCAGAAATCCATATATTTGTCATATTTATTTTTTTAAAAAAATCTAATTGTCTGCATTACTAAACGGTATTTAAAATGAACACCCCACAAGATCTGGTACTTTATTATCTGTTGGAATCTGTCAAACATCCATAATATGAAAATAATTTAAAATTGTATGCATTTTCTATCGTTTTGTCTGTGTACCATATTTTTAAATATTCACTATTAAACATACTTTTTAAAACCTTAACCTGAATTCTTTTTGGTATTATAATGAAAAGCATGAGTGTATAGGGACGTTTACCCACAAACAAGAACCAGCATATAGCAATCTCCGGAGAAAGATATGCATTAAATCACTGCATGGTCATGGCACATATGAGGGGGTCCTCAAACATTTTACTATTTATCATATTTTTCCACAAACTTTTTGAAACCCCATGTCATACTTAACACTGATTGAAACCAGTGGAGGGGGGATTGCAATTAATGTACACACAATTGGAAGTCAGCATAGTGAAATAGCAAGGAGCTTCAGTTCTAGACTCATGTGGAATCAAGTACCACATTAATTATTTTTATAAGTTAGGGGCATTTTCATACATATTTCTGTTTCATCATCTATGGATTGAGAATGCATTCCTAATAAAGTTTTTTAGCGATTTTCTGGCTTTCTAGTTTCTAGCACATAGTAAACAATGTGAGTTAATCAACAAACCTTAGACTTGCATTTGATGCATAGATTTATACATGGTATGTTGTAGAAGTCAGTGATGGTCATGGAAGCGAATACGTTAGTAAAAATGGAAGAGTAATGCTTATTCTTTAACCATGTAAGCCAGCAAGCTCATAGATATACTAAAATATATTTGGTGTTAAAATGCACAGTTTGGAACTCAGAGACACCTCAACTTGTCTTTGCTTCTCACTGCTGTCAGGGAAGTAACAAGATAAAATATGAGTAACTGAAAGTCTACTGCTTTTATGTTTCTGGCTTGACAAACCACTACTCAACAAATCAGTCTGCTTTGTCCTTTTTAAAATAAACTTTCAT